TTGGTTCGGTGCAATAGAGACGTCCTCATAACGTTTTTACGTGCGTGGAGCTTAATTAGAAATGTATAATTAGCAAACTAATTATTTAATTAAGTGGGTACGTGTATTATAAATATCGTAAATAGACTATGTTAAATACTTATTTATATTATCTTTTGAACAGATAATTAATTACCTGCCTATTTTTACAGGAACGCTTTTCTGCTCAACATAGCATTATGAAAGACACTATGATTATACAGGGTGTTAGGTAAATGGGTATATGAGCCGACACTAGCCCATGTTAACATATGCATATAAATGGTATGGTGAAGTCAGAAAATTGATATCATAATTTTAATTTTCATACAAATCTGATTTTATAAATTTTATTTTGTATGAACATTTCAAAAATTAAAATGATGATATCAAATTTCTGACTTCACCATACCATTTATATGCATATGTTAACATGGGTTAGTGTCGGCTCATATAGGTACCCATTTACCTAACACCCTGTATTTGTTAATTAATAAATAATCAACTTTAAAACCACATAATTTGCATACAAATAATTTGTGTTTCCAAAATACTAATCTAGACAATAGAAAAGGTGACCGCTATGGGCTATAAAGCATCGTATGTCTTGACTTGGGCAAATCAGAACGATTGACGCCACAGAAAGGCTAAATTGGGAATAAATTGCCAAATCAATTACTGAGTACTACCGTGTAGCAAGTGCAGGTCTTAATCCAGGTCATAAATCTGTATTCCAATAAGTGCTGGGTCAATTGCAACGCGGACGGTATGCTAAGTCGCGTTATTCACAACTGCATATTACAAACTGCCCGTCGTGTTACGGAGATACCCGTCACGTTTGTCCACACTTCACTGGAGCATGTCACATGATGACACTGCATTTGAATGAGATGGGTTTTTTAACAAGTCGCACAACCTTACATGCAGTCTAGGAATGCACATGAAAAGGCGATGATCCGGTATTTTTAAGTCACACTATATCTTTGCCCCCAAATATCTGCTTTTGCAAATTTTGCAATCATTATGGGTACCTACTGTAAAAACTACCCATAACAACCATTGGAACAAGTGCCAAACTTTGAAAATAAGGACAATGTTTTTGATACTATTATTTTGAAAGTAAGGACATGATAACAATAGCAGTCTGTTACGGTGGCAGTATCGAATTTAAAAAGCTTTTTCATAGGATTTTGCCTGAAAAGATATTTTCCCCATGCTTGTTAAAAGCGAAATTGCTCTAAGCAGCTCATTCTTTGATGCTAGAAATTAAAGCGGAGGAAATCTTTTCGCACTTTTTCTTTACATCCTAGACATTTCTAAGAATTTTACGATTATACTCGTAGGATTTATAAAACAAATTAGCGAAGTATTTATCGGACGTGCCAGATAAAGTTACATGATTGTCCGTTGCGTCAGCGGACAGGATAAATAAAAGTGTAAAGCGCTATTTGGAATCCGCTTAAAATACTTCCTTACTTCCATGGAAACTTTATAGCAATGTTTGAAGACATTAAAATTTTGAACTACTTTCTGAATAAAAATATGTTTAATATTTTGACTCTACATATTAAGTGCTGAACTGAATCAGAGATGGATGTAGTTTTTAGAAAAAAAAGTATTTTTTCAGAATTTTCAGCCTAAGTAGGTAACTATTGTATTCAATAGCTAAAGTTATTTTCCTGAAAGAATTTTGAAAGGTAGAATAAATTTTTTTCACGACAGGTCAAGGCGCTGTAATAGCGCGTAGATAATTTTATGTAAAGACAGTTGAAAGACTGATAATTAAGTAGAGCACTTCCGTCCCTAACTCTTGTGCGTTTAAGCTGATAATAAAATTTTAAAACATTGACCTATTAAGATTACGTACTTACTACAAATCCGAGACATCTCTTGAGATAGTATCTTGGATACTTACACACTTCTTTCTACACATACTTTCTACTACATAGCTCGTAGAGCTGATGGCCGCTGGGGCAGGAAAGTTCTTGAGTGGCGACCACGAGCCGGAAGACGTAGCGTGGGCAGGCCTCCCACTAGGTGGACCGACGATCTGGGAGGTGCCTGGATGCGAGCGGCGCAGGATCGGTCTTCGTGGAAATCCTTGGGGGAGGCCTTTGTCCAGCAGTGGACGTCTTTCGGCTAAAACGAACGAACGAACTTAAAACGGAAAGGTATTGGGGGCAAACCCATCTCATAATGTTTAAGGACGTAATTTTAAGTAACCTACCCAATTAACTATCATTTAGCCTTTAAGATTTTATAAAGAGTCTTAGGGACAGGTTGTTATGAAACAGGCGGCTTCAACTCTTACGCATTGTTTAGATTTGTGACAAGCAATAAATCGGACTTAGTAGCTTAACTTAAATCGTAAAGTGCAATGTTGTTTGAAACGCAAATCGTATCGTTTCCCAATTCTCAATATAATTAATCCCATCAAAAACAATACTTGTCAAAAAAACCAAGTCTCGCAACTCAGTTGTTCTACGGTAAAAAGTTGTGAGATCCATGTAATACCAAGTCCAGGCCAGGAAATCTTTAACGTTTTACATAAATATATTGACTTGGCCATCGCACTAAATAATTTAATTTACACGTGTTTTCATGCGATTTGATGCCAAGTGTAGAAAACTGGACCGAAATTGAAAAATTTTACTCGACTTGGCGGTTGCACTACCGTGCCCCCAAATCTGATTTTTTTGTATTTTGTAGACAGCAGTTATGTATTTAGAAAACTGGACCGAAATTGAAAAATTTTACTCGACTTGGCGGTTGCACTACCGTGCCCCCAAATATTTTAGTTTTTCCTTGATTCATACACCAAACACTACTTATATTCCAAATTTGAAGCTTCTAGGTCTGCTAGAAGTGCCTTAGAGTTTTGATGATCGGTGAGTCAGTGAGTCAGTGAGTGACAAAATTAAGTAACTTTGACCCGTTATAATTCTTAAACTGCTGGTTCAAATTGAATGAAATTTTAAATATACCGTGTCTTTACAATGCCTGCATAGCTAATGAAAATTCAGCCTTCTAGTTTTATCCACAACGAAGTTACAGGCAGTCGAAAATGGCCTGAATTGCTTCGAGAAAAGGATGGTACGGCCGTGCCGCTTTTTTGCTCGACTTGGTGGGGGCACTGCCGTGCCCCCAGATTCTTAAAAGAATAAAATTATTGACAAAATAGGCCCACCTTCAAAAAATATTGTATAATAAACCTTGTTTTTAATTGCTACATGATCTTTTTAATCTAATTCTTCCATGAGAAGATTTGTAATAAATCGGGATGGTGAAAAACAGTTTACAATAAAAAAATATTATTTATTATGCTATTTATTATTATTCAGTAAAAATAACATAAAGTCTCATTATAACACAACACAAGATAACACCATGCACAAATGTACTCACCTCCTTAACGATTTCAATAGATAAACGGATTTTCATGACCACCGCGTGGAACGAGATTTCACTTCGCAGCTATCTTAAAACAAAGTGGCCGATTTTGGTTTGGTTAAAGATATTTGTCCAAAGATATTTGGTGACGTGTGTCAAAATGATAGCCCAAACGTCTATTGATTGTGATTTTAGTGTTGCCAGTTCAAAATGTTGAGAAAGTTGCTTAATTCGATCAACGAAAAAATGACCATAATTGGTGCCGTGTCCATTACTGGTGCCGTCACCCTACCGTTTATTTTCGTACAAATATTGAGCATTTGAGTCTAAGCATAAACAAACTTTTAATGCTCGCAGCGATTATCGCCTGAAACAACATTGAGCTTAACTTGGAAAATCTCACGAGGAAAATAACTCCGTCTTATTAGTGCGCACACGTCACATTCCTCCGCGGATATTCTGTCGCGTAACATAGCTTCTTTAGGGCGTCGCTTTTTCAAAATCACATATTTGTTTTAATTGAGCGGCTTGTGAAAAGATCTTGCATTAAAATAGCTTACCTAGCTAGGCTAACTAAATTACTTAAATGTTAGGCTTAAAAAAGTATTTTTACAAAATGAAAAATTTGAAGAAAATGGTTTGAACACTAATTGCATAGGGAACGGATTTTTGTTTTTTTGTTTATGGATAAGTAGAACTTTTTAAGCTGAGAAAATGCGTACCTGGTACCTTATGATTGCAGTATAGCAGACCTACTCAAATTATACTTTAAAATGAAAAGGCCTTTTTTCAAATCTTTCGTAATCGCACATAAATTCAGAGGTAATCTTGTACTAAACCTTAGCGATTCTATAAGTCGTTGCGTAACAGCGGTTTGTCGGCAGATTACGTAGAGGTCTAGTCCAGATCTAGTTCTATGCATTAGTACTAAGTGCACACCCTACTAGTTCATTCGATTGAGCCTTTATTGTAGAAAGTAAATACTAAGAGCTGTTACTACATACCTTGAAATTGAAATAATATGACATGGAAAAGTCTAGTGATGATATGATTAATATTTTCATTATCCCTAAGGTTTTTCAAACAGTCTTTAAATGGCTTTTATATTAGTTAAGGTACAGATAACAGATATAGGTATCTTTTATTATATTTCACTTTTTTTTCCTTGTTTTGCACCCTCGTTACTCACTAGTCGTCCTCTTTAAAAACTAAACATAATATAAACTATGGCGAGTAGAGACAATGAAGTACCAAATACATTACTTCTTATCAAACGCATCATGTTTTTTCCACGAATAAAGGTGGTACTTAATACAAATTCTCCTGATATTAGGTATGTCAGAGGGATGACGTAATGCTATAAACGTTCGTACTATCTGTAAACGCATCTGTAATTGAAACTAATACTCAGACTAATGTACCTATGTAGACTTCTATGGTTTTATCAACTCCATACAAATCCGTTCAGCTTTCTTCTGCTGCAGGGTGTAAGCTGAACTGGGTTCCGCACATGCTCCGTCAATGTGTAGCATGTGTGACGTTTATAAATACATTTACTTTCCACGCCTCTCCACTTTCCTTCCTCGCTTCCATCGGGCTGGTCCACTCGATACGGAGAATGATCCGATTAACTTATGTGAGTGTCAATAAACCTAGCAAAAGATTATTGATTTAACTAAATTACCAACCAAGTAATTTATGTACGCGCCGCGAACGTGTTAAAAATATAGAGTGCCAGAAGTGGGCAATAAACTCGCCCGCGAACTAAAGTGTCTCACATTATCAAACAAAGTTTGAGTCAGATTTTATGATCAAAAAATTTTAATAACAAAACGCCTTCTCTTATTACAGATACTACTATTCCTGTGCTTCCACCATGTCCAAAGCGCGTCACAAGAGAAGCGAGAAGCTGGAGCAATCGCATCTGGTTACCCGGTCCGTCACACTTACTCTGAGCATCACACCCGGGTAGCCGTACCGGTCCCGCAACCGATACCGATCAGCGTCCCGCGACCGGTCCCCTACACCGTACCAGTAGGCGTACCGGTTGACCAGCCTCGTCCAGTACTAGTCCCGGTACCACACCCCGTGGCCCACATCATCCACCGACCGGTAGCAGTGCCGGTCGACCGGCCGTTCCCGTATCCGGTAGCTCAGCCCGTGCCGGTCACTATTACTCAGGGAGTCGCGATACCGGTTCCCCAGCCGTATGCAGTTAGTATACCTGCTCCGGTACCAGTGGGGGTGCCACAACCGGTCCCTGTGCCGGTTTCCCCTGTGTTAGTAGGGCCAGGGGTGGTCGGTGGAGGTGTGGTCGGTCCAGCCGTTGTGGGACCTTCAGCCGTAGTCGGGCCTTCAGCCGTCGTGGGTCAGGCCGTTATTGCGTCACCGGGAGTGGCAACGGCAGGAGTGGTGGGCTCGTCTGCCGTAGTCCACGGTTCTTCTGCTAGTAGTTATGGTCATACAGTAGTAGCTTCCCATGGCCATGCCATCCAACATCCTTATTAACTATAATAGAGGTTCGGGGGTAATTTAGTATTTATTACAAGCTTTTTATTACTTTCACATGTCTGGTGTCTGTCGTCAAATCTTGCAACTTAAAATTGACCCACTTCCCGGTTTCCTATTGAGCTGAAATTTTGCATACATGTGTAAGTCCGATGACAATGCAATATTATGGTACCATTGAGCTGGTCTGATGATGGAGTCGGGAGGTGGCCATAGGAACTCCTAAACAAAACGGCGGAAACTCATCGAGTTTGGGTTCGTTGGATTTGTCTTTTCGAGCACTTTAGTGTTAGATAACGTCCAGGGTCCTGAGATTAAGATATAACTAAAAAGTGTAAAATAAAATTATAATAAAAATAAACTTTTTTAAAAACAAGCTTTTATTCTGAATTTCGAAAGCTTGTAGCGCAAACAGAGAAAAAGAGGAATAAATTCCATGCGCGATACAAACTTTCGAAATTCAGAATAAAAGCTTGTTTTTAAAAAAGTTTATTTTTATTATTTTTGTTATGAGTTAGTACAAAATCACCGGTGCCAATAGAAGGTAGTTAGTTATTCAAAATAAGCCATACTTTAGATGTTAATATTTATCTGCTATTCACTTGATACGCTGTCTCTAAAGTCACTGAAAATATCTTTGCTTATCTTATTCTGTCCAAGTGCAACCATGTTGTTGTCAAATATTTTAATCAGTTTAGCCAGAAAGACGTTCGATTATACGGACGAAGGTATATCAAGCTACACGCTGGGGCATCTTATACAAGTTGCAATAAGTGCTATTTTGCAATAAAAATGTAAAGACTGATGTACTGCACAAACATAAACATGTAGTAATATCAGCTAAGTTATTTTTGTAGCTTTTATTTACGCATATATTTTACTTTAATTTATTTTAAAGCCTGGTTTAATGTTTAAGAAGTTTTGTAAATGAAACTTAGTGCCCTAGTTAATCATACCACCAAATTACCTGTAAATATTTAATAGATAATTAATGTTTGTAACCTGTTACCTAATTAAAAATAAATATTTTGTAATACTTGACGTGTTTTAATTAATATCTATAATTGGGAGTTTTGTAGTTATTATTTGTTCAACCCGCGAAACTTCTTAGCACCTAAGCCCTCCTGAAACCATCGTTTTTCAGCTGAAAGATCATGTTTGAAACAAAGACGATAAGAAACATAGATATAGAAAGATATCTCTTAATAATTAAGTACCCGACTGCGCCAGAAGGAGGGTTATTTAATTTTACACTTTCAGATATCATTATTTTTAACGACTTGCGTATGAACTTACTTGGTACATATACGATAACAAATTATTTCTTGGTAGGTCTTCTATACTACTTAATACGCAAACACTCAAAACATCTTACAGAATCGAGTCCAATTAAATTGGTAAAACAAATCAGTAACAAAAACATATCGGTCGAGGATAATCGTGTTTACCTCGGCTATCAGACCGTCCATTTGTAATTTTTGATACTGTGATAAGATCCGCGCTATCAGAAACGTGATCCCTGATAAACAGTATCAGTACGTGCTAGACATCCGCTGGTTGTATATTGGTGATTTTTAAAGCTAAAAAATAGTTTCAAAGTGCACATAAGAAGTTCAGAAAGTCGAATTAAGAAAGTGTCTGTGAGATACACCATGGAGTACAATAAGGTCGACACAAAAATGACGTCAAGTGAGTTTGAATTTTATTAGGTCTTGATAAGGGTTTTATTATTCTTTCTGCCGGTGACAAATTAGTACCTAAGTACCTACTCTAATCAATATACACGATGCTTCTGTAGAGCTATAAAACGCCTGTATAGAATTAGGGAGACAGTTTGATCTTGTATGTTTTACAATTTCGGTTGCACCAGGCGTTTAAACTTTGAATTGTTGTTCGTTAAAATTTTATCGCAAAAATAACTTACGTCCGTATTCTATTCACAAACTATGAGGTCTCACAGTGCGCGTGGACACACAGGGTGACATATAAACCAATCACAGAGCTCTATTTAACGCTGTGCGTTCGATTTGCTGCTTCACATAAGCAAGCATCGTTTGTGAATACGGGCGCTATTGTAGGTATAGTACGCCCCTTGTTAAGAGTACTAATTGAATTATCATACCAATTACATTTATGTACTTCTTTATCTACTAGTTTGTGCCTTGCCGTAATTGGCAATTACCATGTAATTATGCGTTAATTGTTGTTGTAAAATAACACCTAAACACAACAACATAAGGTGCCACAGTTATCTTGATGTGCCCTCGATGTTAGGGAGATCTTTGCGAAGTACAACACTGCCTATTCTGAATATCGATCGGTATTCTGGTTGTAATTGTCTCCTCCCTTAGTGTACAATGGTACAATGATAATTTGCTTAAGTACTTGAAAAACATATTGCACTTCCCCCAAAAGATTCCTTCCTAATGGATGCAGGACTCGGAGGCGAACTGTAAGGAAAATAGCGGCGATCACAATAGATCGGTACCGGTTGCAGTGATACTAGGACTTTATTGAACTAGAATAGCCGCTCAACATAAATAAAAAAAATAAATAAATAAAAAGTACTTGAAAATATAATTTATGCATTGGTAAAGACTATACTAGTGTTGTAAGAAACTCGAGTGTTCAAAAATAGCAAAAGTTTTATTAAACAAGACTCCAAGACTTGAGTTCCATTCAACACGTAGCGTAGAGTCATTCACACTAGAGAGCTGTTAGCTGACATCTGCTTTTTATCTAAATAAATTACTATAGATTACGGTTATAGTTAATACTCGAGTTAATCAACACTCGTGTTATGCAGTCGGGTTCATGTACTTGATATGGGGAGATAACCCTTGACTCATCTTCATAGTAGACTGAAAACAGTCTACTGGCTGTCACTTGTAAGCCAGCACTGCACTGGACCGAGTAATCGTTAGGTACCGGTCCCCTACAGGATTTTATCCTATGGCTAAATTAAAGTGACAAATTGGTACCAAATAACAACAGTTTTGCTGAAGTTGCAATATTACGAAGGCATCAAATAACATCAATTTTTCAGTGTACCCTAGTTCTATTTCAAAACAAGGGGTGGTCTCCTTTAAGCTTACGGTTATTCCCCCGTAACTTCAATGTAGGTACCTACATTAATTACTGTCATAAGATCAATCTATCTAGATGATGACGCATTTCAAGTAGTAATGTTTCGTACCATTCATCCATTAATTAAGATATTTTTTGTATATTTCAGAGTTCCCATTCTCAATGGAAAGCTTACCACGGCAGAAGAAGTTTGTCTGTCTCTCTCTCAAGTTTGGCAGTATTTTTGCAGCGTTAACTGTTATAGTGAGTATCTTCACGTATTACATATTTTGTGGCATTTAATACTGGGCAATAATCAGTGCTTAGTTTTAATATTGCAAAATGACTCATATCGCTCTCGTGGCTTTTATTCGTGGCGGCAGCTTTGCGTTTAGATTCTGAAAGGAGCTTGATTCTAGTATTTAGAAATATTCATTTTCCTTGTCTATAGTATAACTAGTATACTGATTACAACTCTAGTTTTAGACTTAAGAACCAAGCTTTTACCATAACTCAATCGAATCACCAAGGCTTAACCATATTTCTTTTCGGGCAAATAGGTTAATTCAAGCTGTAGGCTTAAATTCTCAACTGTGGCAGTTTTCTTTATGTTTAACGGTTTTTCCCAGCTTGTTCCTGGAGCCTGAGCACGTTCAAGATGAAAAGTGCCCCGTTGATCCTGAAATACCCAGGGCCCCTAGTAGGTTAAGATAAGTCGGCCTTGCCAAGAGGGGGTTATCCACAACATTTTTTCTTGTTCCAGCTATACTCAGTACTAGCTTTAGCACAATGCGCCGCAGCGCTGGGCATGCTTCCCAACCAGCTGGAGGCAGAGAACGTGGCCAGCATGGCGATGTTCGGCATCATCATCGTCATCACCATCACCCACGCCGTCACGCTGTTCCTGAGCGCTGTCATGCTGGTTGGAGCTTTGTGTGTAAGTAAACATCTTACGCCTACGTTATGTATTCACAAACATTACTATGAAGTGTCACAGGGCGCGTGGTCGCACAGGGGGTGACACACGAACCAATCACAGAGCTCAATTCTACGCTGTGCGTTCGATTTGCAAGCAACTGTGAATACGTATGTTAAACCTACTCCCAAGTCGTAATACCGTATAAGTTATTTTAGGCGCTTCTAAGATGTTTATGCTATTGATTGAAACTAGAGATCCCGGGTTCGATTCCCAGTGGTGGACAAATTTTCTCTCGGTTTGAGTGGCGGGGTTGTTCTAAATTCACCTGGCTATGTAGCCAGGTATCATTCTAGTATCTACCAGAATATTAAACTAAGCTGTCACCGGAACAAACAAACAGCATTGATGTGTTTCGACGTTGGAGGTACCTACGCCAGTTCCTTTGTATCGAAAGATTGGTATGGAAGGTGATGCTGGTTTCCTTCTTCGGCCTGATCTACTATTAAATGAGCTTTCCCGTAGATTAAAAAATGGACCCTGTAGAGCTGAATTGAAAGCAGGAATTTGAGTGAACCTCTTCCAAGATATTCACGATAGATCAATCCCATATGTTCCAGGACCGGGCGTACCTCATCAGGCCGTGGGTGATGTGGATGTCGGTGCAGGTCATGGTGTCCATTCTCCTGTTCGTGTTCTACAGCACCATGAACATGATCAACCACTTCCAGGACAGCACACCCTTGATATACATCATTGAGTTCCTTATTCTCCGTAAGTATTATAGGTACTTATATTATTATACTTGTACACACGGTCACACTATTAACTATCCATTTCCGTTTTTGCTGCGACAGAACGAGATGACATGACTGGCAATGGGCAGTTAACACTGTTGCCGATAGTACCTATTTATCATGGATAATAAATAAACAATTACATTACAATTTTATGAAAGGGCATAATATGTCTACTTCACTTTTATACAGGGTGTCCCAAAAAGTAGTGTCAAGTCAAGAAGCCCAGAGGTAGAGCATCACTAGGGCTATCCAAATCACCCCCATGTATGTTTCGCAATTTTTGATAGTTTTCGAGTTATAATTGTTTTAAATTTCTGTGCTTAGGCACTTTTTGGGTCACTGTGCCTGTGGCGTGAATTTGTATAAATTGCGATAACATAGTTACGATTATATGAAACGCGCATTTACGGCGCCTGAACAAAATGATGTTCATAATATGCCCTAACTTGAACACAGTGGCATATTCTCAAAGTTTTCTTTTATTATAAACATGTAGCTTTTTAAGAATAACAAAGATCAGCTTCCTCATCATGAGTGCTGAATGATAAGACACACTTCACATTTAATTACCTTGATTTCTTTTATATCCTAGGGCATTTTACACTGCACAATATCTCCTAAACTAAGCTAAACTTGCACTATGTAATGGATACCAGAAAATGGATATAAACAAACATAATAAAATTATTTTGTGTGCTTATAAATTAATCTAAATTCCAGTGGTTCGCATCTACATGCTGATGACGGTGGGCAACTACTACAGGCAGCTAGTCGAGGAGCACGGGGAGTCCGAGCGACTGGTCAAGCTCATGAACAGCGACTGGTACAACGCCTGACCAGTGGCACCGACTGCTTTGAGAGATAACCATGTGATATAAGACTCCTCGCAAATTAGATACTTTTAGTCGGCTGATATAGATCGTTTCATCCACGAAGACGCGCCCCACCATCTATTGGTACACGCTAAATTGACACTCGCAATCCATGAGTGCACGCACACGCACACTACAATAATGACGCTCGGATTGCTCGGATCAAACTCCCCGCATCCCGCGCTTCCTTTTCGAACTAAAATTGGTGGGGCGCGTCTTCGAGGATGAAACGATCTATAGTTGGGCCCGATTCTAATTTGTATGAAGAATCGGTCAATTCCAATGTGCGCACTTTCATACAATATGTCCATACTGATTAACAGCATACTTATTATTATTCTGTGTTAGCAGCCCTACCCAACTATCGGCTGACAAAAAGTTTGTAGGCTAAATCTTTTGTTATTTGTAAATAATATTTAAGCTTTCTTAGAAAGTGTAAGTTATGAAGTTCTGTTTAAGGATCAGAGATTTTTTTATATTCAGTACAGATGTTACTAAAATTGCAATGTATTTATTGTATAAAGTTGTTAGTAATAAAATATTTCTACAATTAAAATATATTTATTTGGCATAAAAGTCGTAAAATATATAACTGGTACTTACAACTAGGTTTTTATTGGTACTCTTGGACAATACAAGTTCTCTACACTTAAATACAATATGCACAATTTTAATTACATTAATATGTTTTACTTTAATAAATGTTTTCCAAAAATATATGTACGGTAACCTTCATAGTGCTATAATAAGATCTATCACTCCACTCATCTTATTTTAACAAAATCTCACTGGAATAAGGCACTCACTACTCATATTAATAATTTAAAATTGTATATCTGTTTATTAATGTCTGTACAATATTAATGGACATTGGACAGGTGAAAAAAGTTGGTATTAAACGTTAATTTAGTAATTTTATGAAAAAAATATGTTGCAGTCACTTTTAGTCTCAGTCTACACGTTCAATTTAATTCTACGCGCATTTCACAATCATATCACGGAAATACTTTCTAAAATATATCTTTAAAGTTAACATTAATAGTTTCGATAGATAACTAAGGTAAAAACTTACCTAACCTGTCGTGTGGATTGATAAAAATTCTTATAAATCATGACAGAGATAAATTCATAAACAAACATTGGTAGGTTGTCATCACGTCTCCTCTAAAATGATTTTTTTACTTTGTTCCTTACTTGTTTCTAGGTAGGTAATAATGTTGGAAGTACTTATACTTTAACATATAGCAGATAACTCAAACATACATTTGAAACAAATTTTACCTCGTCTTTGTAATAATAGTGTAGATTTTGTTGATCAATTCCAAGTTTCACAGAAGAAACCTTCCAGCCTCGTCTCATGTCAAAGATTTCCTCTAACAAATTGCGCACAATAACTTTAATAAATTGTCCATAATTAATACTACTTTTTCGTACAAACAAGATCCGTATAAATTATACGGGATCCCTTTCGCGCACGTACTTGACCGTATCGTCCCTTTCCATCTTTGTGACGGAACTCCAAATTAAGACGGCGAGGTAGATTTGCCACACTGAAATGAAAAAAAAAAAGAAATTAAATAAAACAAATTACCTATCAATTAAAAAATCACATCCAATCATCTGCCAAATTCTAAACTAAAAAGCCTGGCTTGAAGCCTGTTGTTTGGCTAACAAAAAAGTTACTAAATAAACAAAAAAATAAAAAAAACATTACTATTAGTTGTATTGTTGAGTATGTATTTACAGGTTGACACATGAACCAATCACAGATCCCTATTCAACGCTGTGCGTTCGATTTGCTGCTTCACTTAGGCACAGATAATATACTTAGGCAAGCAAAGCAACTTAGTTTGTGAATACGGGCGTTAGTTACAACTAGTCTATTCAGAACTTCTTTAGGAATATAGAGTTCTTAATAAAGTCAATAAAGCGCCTCTTTAGATGGTTATAGGCCTATTTGATTAATTAATTCCAATTAGAACATCGTAAACGAATAAAATAAAAACTAACTAATGCCATGTTATTAAATTATTCGAATAATTAACAGCAATCTTTGCTTTTATTATTTTATCTCCAACGTTAATAAATATGCTAGTAAAAAGTAGATAAGTAGATATCCAATAATGAGTGAGCATCCATGACTTGAGGAGTATCATTAGTTCATCACACATCCATCAGTTTGTAACTATTGGTTCATCATCATTTCTGTCATAGGACGTCCACTACTTAACATGGGCCTCCCCCAATCATTTCCATAATGATCGGTTGGTTAGCAGCCTGCATCCAGCGCCTTCCTGCTACCTTTATGATGCTGTCGGTCCACCTTGGACGTTCCTACGTTATTCTTTCTGTTATGTGGCCTCCACTCTAGAACCTTGCTGCCCCATCGGTCTACCTACACGCTGGTAGGGCCCAAAAGATAAGGAGACATGTAAAGTGCCCCATAAGGGCTACCTTTTCTTTTTTTATTATTTACTATATTTTGACGTTCATAAGTGCCACTTGTGGTCCAACCTGAATAAATATTTTTGATTTTTGATATTGGTTACGCTTCGTTTTTTTTGGCTCGCTTTATATGTAGTATGATGGAGGAGTAATCAAATACAAACATTATTTTGTTCAACGTTCAACAAAGTGTAATCTTTTCTGTAGAGTCGACTGAAAATAGTTCCAATTGAGAAGTAGCAATACTTACTTAGCTGGAACAGTATTAGGAACAGCTCGCTGGCAGACTCGCTGGTGATGAAGGCGATCCCGTAGATGAACCCGATCACCGAGTACACGATCTCGAAGTAGAGGTACACCTTCATCAGTAGCACATGTTTCTGGAATTGGGAAACGAAGCAAATATCAATAGGTGCAATCTACAATATCTATAATAGCGAAAGGTCACTTATTGACTGACTCACTCATCACGAAATCTCAGAAACTACAAGTGCTAGGAGTCTCAAATTTTGCATGGCGATTCCTTTTAGAACGTAGGTGCTCACTAAGACGGAATTTTGCAAAATACAACCCCTAAGGGGCTAAAACGGGATCCACGCGTACAAAGTCGCGGGCGGCCGCTAGTTATGAATAAAAGAAGAACGGTCACGCCCCATACAAAAAAAACCCAGACCCGACAGNCATAGCAGCTATTTAGGTACATACATTTGCCAATTTTGGTGATAAATAGGCATTTAGTATTAGTTTTTGTATGACGCCTGAACAAAAACAAAGGGTAATAATTTGATGTTATACATAGATTTCGAATATAAAAAATATATAATTTAACTAATTAAGACATGACAAAAAAACTGAGGTATGTCTCGTTTCTGTCGGGCCTGGGTCACAGATGACCGTTCTTCTTTGTGTTAGTAAATGGTCCTACTCATCACAACTAGGTATACGTTATTTGACATGACTCTACATTTCTTGACTTAATCCTATTAGTGTTTAATCTATGTACGAATTCTTATCTAGCAAGTTTTCAGCGCTTCATTGGTGAATCATCATACCTGTTAACAAGTACGTATCACATCATACATGTTTAATTAAATATCTGTAAAAATATATGAGTAACAATCATTGTGACTGGCAAAGGCAATTGTTGTTGTTACACTTTGAAGTTTCGGCTCTTTTTGCCCTCTGTGCAACTTTTCAGAGAAAAGTAACACCTCTCGGCACCACATAAAAGACTGGTTACCGTTAGCTAGCGCTTTTAAGAACTTGCTAACCTACTATATAAGGAGTAGGTAGGGGGAGTCCGGGAGAGTTTACCCGCTTTCCACTAAAATGCTCATAAATATTTATATACTTACAAATCGCTATTTTTTATTAATTGTATCTTAAGCTACATTATTTAGCTATATTTTCTTCTAAGAAAGTTTAATACATCATTATTATTTTAAGAGTAATTAACAATTTTAACCAAAGTGATATTTGGCTAATATCTCCCGCCTGGGTGAGGAGACTTGACCTCGCAAGTAGGGAGCCTTTACCCGGGTTTTAAAATAAGCAAAATAATCACTACAAACTATAATTCTATAAAGAAATTTAATCTTCTTGAATGAAAATGTGTAACAATTTAATTCTTTGAGGTTTTCAAAAAAATCAGCCACGTTTTTTCTATTAAAACTGGTTGATCTGGATAAACTGGTTTCTACTGGGGCTACCTCTAATAATTTTCCTTTATCGATATTAATAGGTGCCTATAGCATTTCTTATTACTGACATATCTAAATTTATCCTGTTTCTAGATGTTCCTTTTTATATTTAAAAGGCATTTTGGATGATTATCTGCAATAAAAGTACCAGATTACCCTGGGTAAAGTCTCCTCCCGATGCCAGGGTAGTGTCTCCCACCCCAGGCCAAGCTGTTCATTATTACATTTTTATAAAAAAACTATAACACTTAAGTAAAAACCGTCTACCGTAAATGGAAGTAGGATAATTACATTTACGATGTATATAAATGACATGCTGGAATCTATTCATAGTAAACAACTGAAATAAAATATCGAAAATTGAAAGAAGTTACTTTTCGGGCTCGAAAATGTGTTATCACTTGTCACTCCTAAACCAAACTGCCAATCGCAACGGAAATGTGTGGGCTAGGTGGGACGCGCCTATGGAGTCTAAGAAGTGTGGCTACGTCGCAATATTTAGTTCTACAAAAATTCTATGAGCAGTGGCTATTGTCTCCCACCTCTCCTCTCCCGGAACTCTCCCGGACTCCCCCTATCTAAAAATTCTCATGTCAGTACCGTGTGCTTACAGACTGATATGACTGGCTTGCAAAGGGCTGGTAACCTTTGATATTAGTACAGTATGATACTGACCCTGTGTAGTGCGACGATGAAGGTGACAGTCATGGAGATCTCTATCACCAGCGCGACGGTGTCCACGACCAGCCGTGGGAATTCTGCGGCCACCTCGGGCACGTCAGATTTCCTCGCGAACGATATGTACAAAGACAGGAAACTTGCTACGGTGAGAGACAGCACCTGGAATATTATCATTTTATAGGGTGAATAAAATATCACAGAAAAACTATTCCATAACATTTGCAAAGATAACTAGATGTCCCAAATTTTTGATGCAATGGGACATCGCGTGAAAATATTATGGTTCGGGGAGGTGAAATATAGAAATGAAAATAATATACAAATAGAAATAGAAACGTTAATTGGTAACATTAGGTGTAGTAAGGAACTAAAATTATGCCTAGTCAGCTAGAGTCACTATAAAACGATGCTGAGAAAACAAAAGACATAGGAACATTACGTCTGTTGATGAATAATTAAGATCTTCTATTTCCTATTCTGTTATGAGGAATATGGTAAGACTGACCCAATGGGGTATAAGGTCAAGGCATCCATCCATTATCTCTAAACTCTCTCATGAATTTCGTGACTTTGAAAGTGTTCTAAATACTTTCGACGATGCAAAAATATACGCCGGCTGCATTTGACAACTTTGTTTAAATAGAACTTGGCAGATTTCCAACTAAAGCATTCCCTAAGAGCATTCCTTGGTCAGTTGTTTAAAAATGCAGGCAAATGAAATATGCAGTATTTGAAACTTTCCTGGAAATCGGGGCATTCCCGCATACCACGACACACTTGGTAACAGCACAAATAGATTATAGAAGAAACCACAGGTACAAAATTGGTTTTATTTTTGTAAGTAGAACGATTATACCTATATCACGCCTATATTATTGTTATAATATGACATTACAAAACACTATTAGGGTGGAAACGATAAGTGATCTCATTTGATTATTTCTAAACTATAAGATATCGAAAAAGTGGTTACCTTGAAAGTGCTACACGAGCTCTATCAAAATAAACTGGATCTATCCGAAAATTCTATGTGTTCCTGTTCATCTTATATCCTGTATGTAGGTACGATGTCTTAATAAATGTAATGAATAATATCAAGAATACTTACCAAATTGATATAAGCGAAGGCGATGAGACCTTTTCTAAGAGGAAAGCAAAAGCAACATCTGGTGAGGATCGGGATTTCTACGGAGTTTTTTATTTTTTCTCTGAAAAGAAAATAACACAGCATTAAAATATGAATATGGTTTTTATACAAAACTAGCTTTCCGCCCGCGGCTTCGCCCGCGTGGAATTTTGTCTGTCACAGAAAAACTTTACCGCGCGCGTCCCTGTTTCAAAAACCGGGATAAAAACTATCCTATGTTCTTTCCCGGGACTCAAACTATCTCTATGCCAAATTTCATCAAAATCGGTTGCGAGGTTTAAGCGGGAAAGCGTAACAGACAGACAGACAGACAGACAGACAGACAGACAGACAGACAGAGTTACTTTCGCATTTATAATATTAAGTTGGGATGTAGAGTTTACTTATTCTGTGGTATAGTACAAGTTACGCTAAATTGATGCAATTTGTAATGTGCCGCGTTTTATCTAATGAACATTAACTGTTACCTAATTAACCATATTGTGGTCCTTATCTAGGATTTCCTTATCAAGGCATTATGATTAAAATGTTAAATCTTTTTAAATATTTGTAGTTGTAAAATTAACTTAAAACGTTAACGTCACTATCGGTATAATAATTAAGAAATAACAACAACTGAGAACGTAACGTGTGTTTAGAACGTCAAGTCACCGTTAAGTGCTCGTTATATTGTTAGTGTAATGAAAATTACTTTAAATTGTTACTATGTAAGTAGACAATCAACTTAAACACCTATTCTACGTAAAAGAGTTGCCTATTCTAAATATTTGTATCGCGACTATGTTATGTACTTACATACCTGTACATACAATATGAGTATTGAGACTGTGTAATGTATGTTGCAAAATAACTTTTAATATGAACGTCCAATTACATCATAAAACTACGGATTGTTAACTAGTTAACGATTTAGTCTAATTAAAATATTTTGAATTGAAAACTAAGTACATTATTATAAGTACAAAGGTTACAATGATTTATATGTACTATCGGCAACAGTGTTAACTGCCCATTGCCAGTCATGTCGTCTCTATCGCAAAGAATCACCATTTGATTAGAGCGAGAGCAAAAACGGAAATGGATAGTTAACAGTGTGGCCGTGTGTAGGTACATTGCATAGCAAGTAGTTAATATAACGAGTTTTTGCGAATACTTTTACGTCATTTATAAAGTTTCCTAGACACAGTGTTTGATTTTGCAGCAAAAACAAATATAATGATGTGCTGCCAACTGTATAAACAAATATCTGCAAAGAAAACAGGACACGATTTCTAAATGTTGGCTCCAAAGAAACTGGTTAATTCCAAGTGACGTAGACTTCCCGGGGATTAGATAAGGCCTATAAACGGCTGCCTGGCTTGGTGGTGATGGTTTCATCGGTCAAAAGCACCAGAGTTGTGGGTTTGAACCCCACAAGGGGCAATTGGCAATTAAATCCAGAGTCAGTTATCTTACATTGTTATAGGAGCTTTTATTAAAAGCGCTTTACAAAAGCCTATTTGTAGAAAATAAATTACTTTGCGTTCGTTTTGTTCAGCCAAATGACGTCTACTGGACAAAGGCCTCTCCTAAGGATGTCCACAACAACCGGACCGGACCTGCGCCGCCCACATCCAGGCACCTCCAGCGACCTTCACCAGTCACCCTCAAATGACTTATTAAATTTTATTTTGTCACAAAAAATTATGGAATTGAGAATGGAGAGTTGAATCTCGTAAAGTCTGAAAAACCCATGGAACTGTTGAAAAAAGCTTTCTAAAAAGGGATGCGATAAGAGAAGTCTAAAGACCTTGTCCTATTTGATAACATACTAGCTTTCCGCCCGCGGCTTCGCCCGCGTGGAATTTTGTCTGTCACAGAAAAACTTTATCGCGCGCGTCCCTGTATCAAAAACCGGGATAAAAACTATCCTATGTCCTTTGCCGGGACTCAAACTATCTCTATGCCAAATTTCATCAAAAGTTTAGGCGTGAAAGAGAGACAGACAAACAGACTGACAAAGTTACTTTCGCATTTATAATATTAGTATAGATAAACATACACAATAGTTAGAGGATGCGTTCGATAATGCAGCTGCATTGATTAGCTTATCATTGGTTCCGGTTCATTTAAGAGTGCATTTTATTGATAAAGTATTTATTTACAAACCGATATAAACAAACATACTTAAACAGTTTTAATTAAAATAGACTAATGAGCCTTTTTATATTAGCATTTTTTCCAGGCTTTTCCCAGTGCTGCAAGCATTTAATACTATGTAGGTAAGTACTATGTCATATTTGGGAATTGATCCAGATCCAGCCAGCCAGATCGAAGACGTTACAATGCGTGGCTTGACAAGAGACACGGCTCTGTTTAATTGGCTATATTTTTTAAAAAGATTTTGAGCGTGTATAAATAAACAAGTTTAGCCCATAATACGTATGTTGTCCCGAAGTGGTGGTAGGGCAAGCTACATTTGAGACGTGTATAGAGCGCCCTGAAAAGGGCACTGAATTTGATTTAATTTGAAAACAAACATACTGATAAGACACAGGACGGAAAACGGAGTAGGTACTAACCGTTCGCGCTAAGTTTGCCGGTCCGTGGAATGCGCGTCCCCTCTCCCAACCGCGATTAAACGCAATTAGTTAGTGATTAAACGCAATTGATGTGTCTTATTTTACGCAAATACACATTTTTTTATCAATATTAATAAATAAAAAATATTTTAATATAGTTTGCTACGTAGTTATAAACGCTTCCCTTCGAGTGACGTCATATCGCCAGTGGTAAACTTATCGCGAACGGATAGTATGAATATTGCGAAGAATCGTAACGACGAAACGTTTTGACACGCATTTAATAATGTTATTGTCTTGTAACTTAATTGAGCAACACATTTATATGATGATTAATTTGCCGAGTTCAATGCTTGTTACCTTGCGTGTGTTACTTGTGTGTCGATGACGTGAATAGTTGCGTAAATATTATTCGACAACTATTTAAATACTTAATCATATTGTGATAAATTAATTATTTAATGCAGTTTAAACAGATAGAATTAAAATATTTTTAAAAGTTTCTGTGGGTGATAAAGTACGAATTAAACACAGTCTAGGGTTTCATAAAAAACGTGTGTGTAGGATGAGATCAGATTTTGCGATTTTTTCAAGGAAATGCATTGAAAAAAAAATACTGCGAAAAACCCTAGATTCCTTATTTGAATCCTTAGGAGATTGTTGAGGACATGAGGATGCAAAGCAATAAAGTTATTTTTGTAATACACTACGCGATGACTCTCCAGCATCGCTTACTACGTCAGTTATGAAATAAAACAAGCCCAGTGACTCTCTACCTACTCTACCCTTGAAATAATATTTTATTTAAATAATAAGCCCAAGGCTCTTTACATATCTTCAGCATTTAAGTAAGCCCTACAAGCGCTTTGAGTTAAATATGTAGCTAACTACTAGTTTTAAGCTAGTATTGAGATTTACATGGTTAATGGACAATATTCACCGAGTTTGCGGTTCTATGTCATGCAGTTTGCTCGTTACATAATGCTCACCGCAGAACAGCTGCCGGCGCAGGTTGTTCCACGGTATATAAGTACTCGTATATTACCATCACATCAAGCCACAGTGCAGCGAGAAAATCCTACACAGACAAATCCTCTCGTAAGAGGCTCTATTTTTAACCGACTGCTTCTCAATTCTTTTTTTGTGAGATGAAATTGATAACGAGATGACTGGTTTGGTAGTTGCCATTTGAGTTTAAAGTAGAACCCGACCGACCCGACCCCACAAAATCATTGAGCATAATCCCACCCCACTCTATTTCATACATACGAGTATTGGAACGAGAATCAAGATTTTTCCAGATTAGGCTCTGTAAGGATAATTATTTACCTAAATATCTACTGTCTGAATTACGCCTTGAGCCCTTCGGTCGATAAAATATTGATGGTTGTTCCAGAACGACTGTACCTATTTACACTCAAATTATGTAGGTATTCAATATTCATACAGGCTGTACAATTTGAGCTATGCCCATGGGAACGGTATTGAGGTTACGATGATATAATTGTAATGTAAGCTACCGTACCGGCTCTTTAGTTTTTTACTGTGACAAAAATAAATCTAAGTCGCTCAGTATTTGTTATAGTGATAAGTAAAACAATTGTAAAACCATTGGAAATAGCCAGAATAATAAAACGTTTGACGCCTAGATAGTATTGTTAGTTCACGATCACAGATTCTCACATAACAGGATGCATTTTAATCTTGCATTTGTATTTGTATTAACATAACTACTATTTTTCAACCGACTTCAAAAAAGGAGGAGGTTCTCAATTCGACCCGTATGTTTTTTTTTTTTTTTTTCTATGTTTGTTACGCGATAACTCCGCCAATTATGAACCGATTTGAACAAATCTTTTTTCGGCGTATAGGTAATACCTCAAGGGTGGTCCCATTTAAATTTAATAATAGAAAAAACAACCCCCAAGGGTGGAAAATTGGGGATAAACTTTTTTATACGCAATATCTCCGCCGATTATAAATCAATTTGAACGATTATTTTTTTGTTGAATAGGTATTATCAAAAGGGTGGTTTCATGCGAATTTGAAGAAAATATTTCATCCCCAAGGGTGGAAAATTGGAGATGAACTTTTTTATACGCAATATTTTTAATTTTTAGTTTTTTTTTGTGTTCACGCATTTGAAGTCGGTTTTATTTTTTTAAAAAGTTATTTATTGTACCTATAGTTCGGTTTAAAGAATCTTTATTCTCATAAGAACAGGGTAGTTCACTTACATGAGATTATAATAATTTACAACAATTGTCTTGTGACGAAGCATGCGCAAAGCCCACAAACAAAAAATAATGTAGGTACATAAATAATTATTAACATTATTTCGAATAAGTAAACATCAGATCTGCAACTCCGTTGACACAGAAATAATGGCCCTCAAACTAACTATCATTTACTCAGTCAGGACTAGGTAGGTGTGACTAGGTGTAGTGAGTAAGTATCCACCTACTAAATAAATAAGATTGTAAAAGAATACGAGATTTTT